GGTATGTAAGGGGGTTTCATCGATCGATAATTGGTGCCGTTGTAATCTTGTATGAGAACATATGTGCATGGTGTGTGTATATCGTAATCGATGAAGAAATGTTTCGAATTAACCCTTTATCACATTCGTGTTATCATCAGTGGTTATCAGTGTGTTTCATCTCACTGTTACTATCTATCCAATCGTTCATTCTCTCACATTCACAACAAAACAACCGAACTGTGCGGTTGCTGATTTACAGATCACTTACTTTCCGTAGCATAGGGGACGTCTTTGAAATTTGACACGACGGATACTACTGAGAAGTACGGGCACAGTGTGAGTTTTCTTGGGAATAATTGTTTTTTTTTGCGCTATGTGGCCAAGGAGGGACCACTCTCCCAGGCGGTGCTATAACTCGCTGTGTCTGCGTCCTCTCTCCTAGACAGCAGTGACCCGGCTTTGTCGCGTCAGAACACGATCTGCCTTAATCACGCTCTAAACTGGACCCTCCCAAGGCACATAGCGCCTGTTTTTCGTCATTCTATAAAATTACTAAATTTGGAAATGTAAAATATTGAAAGTGCCTAGAAGTTCAGTGCTTACTTCCACGATGTCGTTGGATGCGAGCAGTCGACGTCTGATGAAGGAGCTGCAACAACTCTCAACGGAACCGCCGACGGGTATTGTGGTGAATAAGGACGCGGCTAGCGCTGACCTCAAGTAAGCTCCTTTTTCTGCTGTTTTTACGCTCATTTCATTTTCTCAGAGTCTCTTGGCACTATGTGGCTCGGGAGGGGCCGTGCTTCAGTGGAGTCAGGCCACATTAAGTCTACTACTCTGAACCGAAAGAGAATGTATCAACATGTCACTATCTCACCTGGATAGCATGATGGGGCTTTATGGCATCAGAACGTCTTTTGAACAAACCGTGCAGCACATTAGCCCCTTCCGAGGCGCAACCGCCGTCCTTCGATTCCTTTCGACAAAGTGAATCTTCATAAGCACCGATGAGTACCATGTGACTTCTCCCATCCCACCCCCCTCCCCCCCCCCACCAAATGGTACTGCGCCGTTCATTGGATTTTGCTTGGAATGGCCGGGCAACTGAAAAGTAGTTTTAGTTCAGGATCCTGCTTGGGCGCATTCTGTCGCCACCTCACGTCGGCAGAGAATGTCAGCTAGTGTTCCGATCCCGAGAGTTAGCCCCGATGATGTGACCTCCGAGAGTTGACTCCATTTGATATAGGCATACCCGCGTGGTATGCGACGCCAGCGCCCCTTCTATCCGAAATAATTTTATTCGGAATTCACGAATTACGTTGAATTCTGGCAGGTTCTTCGATGCGTTGTATGCCGTATGCTCCTTTGTTTGCTTTTGTATTCATCAACATTTGTTTAGACAATGGCGTGTGGACGTGATAGGTGCTACGGGTACTTTGTACGAAGGCGAAGAAATTCTCCCTTCAATTCCGATTTACACAGCAGTATCCGTTTAACTCGCCAGAGGTACGGTATCTTGTATTATTTCTGTGTTGCATTATTTCTACTGTTTTTCATGCCTTTTTGAGTAGATATTTTGTTTCGCCTTCTTCTTGTGGTTAGCTTGTTGAGCGTATCTTAAGGGAACGTAAAGTTGTCGAGCATCCAGAATTGTCGAGCGAGTTGAATCTTGGTTACCGTCTGCCCCACCTTTCAAAATCGGGGCTATACAATCATCGAAATTTCTCTGCTTCTTGTAGAACTGGCTTGAAACTGCATTCGGAGTCTCCCTCAACCCGAATTTCCAATTCGTTTTCAATACGCCCACGCCTCAGATGCTGATGCTGGGACACCTCATTTACAAAATTCACTTAATCTTGTCATTTCTGTCTTGTAAGTCGTGCACCCCTACCACGCAGACAGGATGATTGCATGGATCGACGCCGCGGTGATTTTGACAGAGGTCATATCATGGCCGAGTAAAACAGCAATAGGTCTTTCTTGGCTACTGAGGAGAAGGAGCTCGTATTTGACCCAGAGGGTTTCATTGATTGCCCCTTTTCCCGTTTCAGACGCTTTACACCGCTTCCCCTTTTTGCCAGCTGCACCATCGCCATGCTTATCGCGCTGCACTGATCAGGAAGGT